CTTTCCCCCTTTGTCAGCGGTCGCCAGTCAGCCACCACCGACGGCCACCACCGCCGGACACATCACCGACGGCACCACCAGCTGCCACCCCTGCGGCAAGCACCTGCAACACCCAACGGCGGGCCACACCTGCGGCAGCCACCAACGGCACACCAGCTGCCAACCCAGGCATACGCTGCCGCAAACAGCCGTCACCTATCAGCCTCCAGCAACGAGCGGCTGACACAATGACTACAGACGGCACCTCCGGCATCTCAGTCGAGCGCCTTGACTGGAACAACTACCCAGCATGGGCAGCCAACATGAAGTTCTTCCTCACCACCAAGAAATGCTGGCACATGGTCATCCACACCGAGCCTGCAGCCAACGCTGAAGACCGCAAGGCAGACGAGCTCGCCCTCTCCTACATCGGCCTGTGCGTCAAGCCGGTACACCAGCCCACCATCCTGCGCTGCACTACGTCCAACCAAGCCTGGACCACTCTGCAAGAAACCTTCGCCGCCAAGACCTTCGCGCGCAAGCTGCAGCTGCGCCGAGACCTCAACTCGCTCAAGATGGCCACCAACGAGACAGTCACCGCCTTCACCAGCCGTGCCAAGGCACTGCAAGATCAGCTCACCGCTGCCGGCCACCGAGTCGACAAAAATCGCATGCCAAGTCCTGGCTGGCCTGCCATCCTCCTTCGACACCGTGGTCACCGTCATCGAAACCACCACAGCCTCCACCGGCACTTTCACCGTGGACGAGATCCTGCCACACCTGCTGCAAGCTGAGCAGCGTCGTTCCAAGACCGACTTCAACCGCAGCCCCGACTCAGCACTGATGGCCACCTTCCAGCCACGCCGCGATGACCGGCAGTTCAACCACAACAGCGGCCCCCGCAACTTCAGCCGCAGCAACGGCCCCCGCGGCGTCAGCAACCGCACCCGCGTGTCGGCCGCACGGCCACCCAACATCAGCAGCCCACGGCCCATCTTCGGCAACCACAGCAGCTACGACCGCTCAGCCCGTGATGCGCGTGCATACGCCGAGGACACCTGCCTCTACTGCTACAAGCCTGGGCACTATGCTGCCGAGTGCAAGAAGAAGCGCCGAGACATGGAGTCCCGCCGCGCCGGCCACGGCATGCAGCGCCCGCCATCGCACAACCGCAACCCCAGCCAGCAGTACAGCGCCATCGCCTTCACCGCCACCTCCACCTCCAACACCGTCAACGACGACTGGATCTTGGACACTGGCGCCACCCGGCACATCACACCACACAAGCAGCTGCTCACCGACCTGCGCCCTGCGCCACACACCGTCATCGTCACCTTTGGCAACGGCAGCATC